CCAAATATCTCAGTGGATTAAATGTCTGCAAGCAGGCACAGCGATCAGGGGTTCGATCCCTGGACCTGTCATCCTAGCCCCACCCTTGGGGCACACTGAAATAGCAATTGAGACTGGGCACGGTAGCACGCACCTGTAATCCCAGCTCTTGGGAGGTGGTAAATAGGCAGATCACTACGAGTCCAATCTAGTAGTGCGGCCCTGAACACCTTGTAGACCCTTCCTTAAAATAAAATTAAAAAAAAATTTAAAGCAAATAGAATTTTCACACCACTAAACGCTGTTTGCCGTTGCCCTCATTCACCATTTTCCCCTTCTCTTCCCTAAACTTGTCTTCTGATGTTCTCTTTGCATAGGGAAAGTATCAATGAGTTTAAATTTCCACCTGCAATGCAGATGATTAAAAGGTTGAAGGACCCTCTAGGAGAGTACCAAAACCAACCGCAGCAAGCACACACAAAGCTTATATGCACAGGATAGTTCGGATAATTATACTGCTGATTTCTGCTGGTCTATTGAAAGAAGCAGTTAATGCTTAAGTCTTTTTTAATTTTAAAAAATTTCTCTTCATTTTAACTTTTTCTTAGCCAGTTTTGCAGGTTTTTATCTGGTAACCTAAATAACTCCTTTGAAGATAACATGCTATACAAGTACCATTGCCAAATTCCTATTACTTTGTTTAATGAAATTTTGTGGGGTTTTTTTTACCTTTTTATTAATTTTTTATTCATTTTAATGAGAAAAAAAGATAAAATAGCAATGAAACAGTTTCAAAAACAGGTTAGTAGGACAGTAACAATAATTAATACATTGCATATTGTTGTCATATCATTTCTAATGGTTTTTTTTAACCATTTCATATTCTTTTTAAAAAAAATTTTTTTAAATGAAGCCAGCAGACTCACCTCAAGCACAGGGGTCAACAACCTAGGTGGCTTAGCACAAACCACTTGTCCTCCTCAGATTGTTGCCCCTCCTTCAGTATGGGATTCCTACCTTCTTGCCGCACAGACTGTTAGGAGCCGAATCCCATAGCCCTTTGCATGCAGTAGGCCATGAATTGCTACGGACCCATGAAATTTCATGTGGAACAGTATCTAAAAAGAAGTCATTAAACTCCTTCTGCCAAAGGCATGGGGCCTTATATCTGCTATTGCTTTGTTAAGTGGCAAAACTGCAAATATTGGGGAGCAGTTAAAAGCCAGAAGTACTAAAACTGAAAGAGGAAAGCCTCTTGATGCGATCTTAGAATGGAAAAAAGCAATGAAACAGGGACAGCTGGTCACATGTAATACATAACAAAATTACCTTTGTTCCACCCAAAATCATCTTTGTTCCACCAGCTATGGCCATCTCATACTCTGGAAAGATCAATCTATTTGTTTTACTTTCTTTTTTAAAATCTTTTATTTATTTGGTACAAGCTCTCACTACTCAGTTTGAACTCGTAGTGATCCTCTTGTCTCAGCCTCCGTCACCACGCCCACTTTTGGCCATGCCCTGTTTCGGTGGCCAGCTTAGTGCACCCACAGCCTGCCTAGCATGCGGTACCAGGGGTCAAACCCAGTCTACACACTTGCCAGGCAGGTGCTTAGACCACCAAGCTATCTCCCCAGCCCCAACCTATTTCTTATATTCTGTGGTTCTTACTGCTAAATGATTAAGGCAAAGCTACAACCATGGTTACTGGTGAAATTGGGCTCAAAAGTACAGGATTATTAGTGTCTTTATCATCTGCAAGCCTATGAAAGCCATGAGGAATTAAATTGCACATATACCTTGATTTTTACAAAGCAGCAGACTGATTCTAAGTGACAGACAGATCCCTCAAATACTTAATGACCTTGGGGAATTTGGATTTCAATACAGACGGCTGGCAATGGAAAATAAATTTTGAGATGTTATCAAAATTAAACACCAGGAGGTGAATGATTGGACCTATCAAATGGCTAATCAGGAGAATCTCTTTGGTAGTTAATCATTTACAGCACTTATTCAGGCCCGATACCACAGAAGTCTTTAGACTAGAGTGATCCACTTGGGTAATCTGGCAAGGAATATCTATGTCCCGGCATGAGTGCTCTTCAGGAAAATTAGCTGGCAATACACATACAAATATGTGAGCTGCTGGCTTCTTCTCTATCTTCTCACTGTCTTAGGGATCAAACTGCAAATCTCTAGCATGATCTTCAAAGTCCCCCCAGGATCTTGTCCCTATTCACATGCTTCAACCCACCTTATTTTGTTTTTAAACTATGTTAGCTTTCCATTGCTGTCAGATGTAATTTTAAGGGCTTTTGTTTTGGCTCTGAGCTTTAGAGGTTTCTGTCCATGACCTGTTGGCCCTATTCCTTAGCACCTGTGGTGGCGCATCATGGTGGGGCAGCAGGTAAAGCAAAGCTGTCGGCCTCCATCGATGGATGGATCATGGAGGAGTACAGCATCCCCCAATCTAGCAGCCTTCCACACACATGAGAATTTGAGGAAACATGCTCTTTTTTAAATTATTTATTTGGTACAGTGTTTCACTACACAGCTCAGACTAATACTGATCCTCCTGTCGCAGCCTCACCAGCACTGGGATTACAGGCATGTGCCACCATGCCCAGCTTTGGTGGCTGGCACTGGGTGCCTGAGGTTCTGAGGCCAGCACAATATGTGGTACTGGGGGTCAAACCCAGGTCTGTGTGCTTGCCAGGCAGTCAATGAGACTACCAAGCTATCTCCCCAGTCCCTAAGGGAACATTCTAGATCTAAACCATAACACCTTTTATCTTCTTCAATCTAGGCCTATTCATACTGTTTTGTCTGCTTTATTCAACCGTACTACTTCCAACCCTCCCAATGTTCATTCATTCATTGAAGTCTCAAACAAAAGAGCACTTCTCCAAGGAGTATTGCTAGGTTGTCTGTCACAAGCTTCCCTACCTCTTTGCCTTTGACAGTCACAGCCCAATTGCTGGTGTGTGTCTTCCCCTTCCATCAGCTTGTAACTCAATGATGGGTTGGAATTGCACATATCTCACCTATCCCTGTAGCCTTGGCACACACCACAGTGTCTGGCACTAAGACATCCGCCATGCGGATGTTCATGAATGAATGGTTTCAGGCTGGTCTACAGCTAATGGCAAAGTCATCCAGAATTCCTTAGATAATCTTAAGATTTGATACATACTTTTTACAAATGTGTATATTCTTCATAAAGATCTTTCTGGAGAAAGAGGGGAGGCAAGGTAACCAAAGCCTCCTCCTGAGCGTCCTTTAGGATTCTCCGCATAGAAGTGTTATGTGAGATGCCATCCTGTTCAAAGTAGTGTCAACATAATAGCCATCCTGTGGATTCAGGTGAAGCCCACACAACCTGGGGCTTTGGTTACCAGCAGGCCATTCTCTACTCTCCCATCTTACTTTCTTATAAGCAATAAAATCTGTCTTCCTTTAATGTTAAGAGAAATCTCAGAGCTGTCTGCTCCAGTAGCCACAGTAGTGAAGCAGCCATGATGCAGTATACGAGGCACAAATGAAGACAACACGGTGCCCTGGCAGGAGCACTGGACAATGGGTCTGAAGAACTAGGTTTGGATTCTGACTGGGCCACTTATTTGCCCTGTGCTCCTAAGCATCTGGCTTTTTATGGTTAACATGCCCTGCCTGTGAAACTGCACAAGTCTTCCTGTGAGCATCACATGAAATAATAGTGTACTGTTTTATCTATAAGTCACTGATACTTCAATAATGAAGGCAACATATAAATTGTAAAATATTAGGCAAATTATGGGAATTTTGCAACTAATCCTTGAGAGCAGTTTTAGCCTCTTGATTTTGAACAGGATGTGTTAAGAATAAAACGAATGGCTGGCAAGATAGCTCAGCAGACTAAGCACCTACATTGGCAAGCACAGGGGCCAGGTTCAATCCCTGGTTGTGCATGTCATGCTGGCTCTGTCCCTGGGGTATGCTGAGCCAGCAAATGAGTCCAGGCGTGGTGGTGTATGACTGTAATCCCAGTGCTGGGGAGGCTGAAAACAGGAAGATCACTGTGAATCTGAGCTGCATAGTGAGATGCTGTACCAATACATAAAAGAAAAAAAAAAAAGAATAAAATGAGTTCTCCTTACCTGCCACCTTATGGCTGCTAGGCAACCTTTTCTCACCAGGCTAGTGAGAGAGGAATTCAGAATTAGTTGTGAATGATTCGTATTCAGGACATAACTGTGATCATTGGATATGATCCATCTGCCTGCTTTTATCTACCTTTCAACACTACAAAAACTATCTTTTAATAAAGTAGCCAGCACAACTCCTCCTTAAGGATCAGACTTTTGTTCATACTGCTAGAGCAAAACTTTGACATGAATAGTGATAATCTGAATCATTACCCAGATAAGCAACTAACTACATGGAATTTCAGAGAAAACATAACTGTGTTGCATACTGATGCTCAAAAATCCATTGGCCCTTTTTTTCTACAAATAGAGATAGCTGAAATTTATAGAGAAATGATATAGTAAATTCTGACCAAGATGCAAATGATTGAAGGATTTTTTTTAAAACAATCTATGGAAGAGGGCAGTAAACACATGGTATATGAAAGAAAAAAGAAAGAAATCGGTCTTCTATTTTGTTACATTCTGAGATATTTAATGTACTTTTAAAAATACCACAGTTGAAAATAGCTATTGTGAGAAAAAGAGGAAGAAACAACTTTTGTCCAAAATAAATGACAAAGGTATACAATACTGTATTCAATATTTCAAAAAGTATTGGAAGAAAATATCTTGAACATTATTCTCATGAAGAAATGGCCAATGTCTGAGGTAATGGATATGATAAACACCTTGATTGGACTACTTCTCAATATCTGTGTTTTCAAACACTACACTGCAGCCCTTTAACTGCCTATAGTTATGTGACAGTTAAAAGTAAACTGAAAACAGAGAAAATAAATGTGTGCTCAACAGGAGCTGGGCTGACCTGTCTGACTTTGGTTTTCATTGCAGGCTTATAAATGAATCTCTGAGGGACCAGCTCTTGGTGACGATCCAGAAGACCTTCACGTACACCCGAACCCAGGCCCAGCATTTGTTCATCATCCTGATGGAGTGCATGAAGAAGAAGGAGTTGGTACGTTAGCCCTGAGTGCAGGGCCCTCCTCATACTCCCATCTGTCACCTTGAATCACATGCCATCTCCTTTTCTGGGCAAGTTCATAAACCTCTGCAGGCTCCATTGGCTCTAGTAGTTTCCTCTCCTAAATAGCAAAGACACAGCTTTTCCTGCTTTGGATTGAATGTAGTGTGTGAAACAGGGTTGAAGCGTCGTTTCCCTATGGAGCTCTTCCAAATACTCCTGATTGTCAAATCAAATGAGATGAGAAGGGGAAAATCGGTTTCCCCCTGGGGAATGCTTTCAGTAGATCCTCTTATATTTGGGCATTCACTTTGCTTGGGAATAGTGAATCACTGCTGTGTTTTTTGTCCGTTATCTTCAGTGATTCCTATCCAGGGTAATAGGCTGATTTACACAGATGAAAAAGAAAAGCATACCCAAGAAATCCTAACAATGTGTGCACAGTGTTTGAAGTGCCTTTTGGTGACTACTGAGCCGTTCCTTATGTCAGAGCAACCTGAGAAATGCGGTATCACGGGGACCTTCTATTAAGGAGAATAGAAATAACTGAAAATAACATTTATTAAGCACTCAATAGATGCCAGGCAGGCAGCTAAAACATTAGATGTATTAACTCATGTGATCTTGCAACTACCCCATTGAGACAGATACAGTTATCACTCTCAACTTCTGCATGCTTAGTAAACAAGAAATAGGACTCAGAACTAGTGGCATTTAATCTCTATGAGCTATATTCAAAAAATTGTCTTTTGGAAGCCAATGTACTGAATCACCCACTCTGAGGAGATTCCTATCAGGCCTCAGCAAGCAGAAACTGTTTCCAAAGGTCTCTTGAGGCCTACCAGTGACCTAATCAGCAAACTACTGAAATTTTAAAAAAAGAAGAACCTGTTGATTATATTAAGCAAGCTAGGTCTCCAGAAAGCACCCACACAGCCTTTGCAAGGTTTCCAGCAGCTTCCAGGTTTGGAATGACAAGAGAACAGAAGGGGATACTGCCAATCCTAAAAAATCCAGGCTCCCAAGTTCTCAGCCTGGCCACCATGTACAGTGAGGCTGCAGTGGTGACAGCCGTCCTCTAGAGAGCTGGTGCCACCCCAGGGAGCACCACCCACATGGCCGCTGCTCCCAGTTCCAATCTTGCAGCTCACACACTTCCTCCACTGAGTCACCTGAAACTTGAACTTGCACAAGCCACAAGAGCAACTTTCTCCTGTGGTCTGAGCATTTTCCCGATGCTGCGGCCAAAGCTAACCATGAAAGCACATTACAATTATACCTTTTGGCAGTCTCACAAACTTCCTAGGAAGGCAGTTCTAGTACAAGTCGAGGAAAAGTTCAAGCTCATGAAACGAAAGATGTTGAACAAGTTTCTCCAGGTTCTTTCTGAGAATATTCACTGTATTCTGCCTGACCACTGTCAGGTCACTCAATTATGGGCCCAACTTAAAAGGTCAACTGTGCTGTAAACCAATTGATTTATCATAGGAAAGGTGAAGCAGCCCTAGCTGCAAGCCAAAAAAATGCATTCTGAACAAACAGTAAGTTATCTTTCCATATATGAACAGAAATATTAGGAAATTTTGAAGCCATAATTATAATTAAAATTATTTCACTTGTGATAGGCTGTTGATAGGCATGAATGGTACTATTGCAAATCAAGTGGAAATGAGGCAGGCATTTTCTTCTTTTGTGGAAGCAAAAAGGGAACTGAGGCATACCTCACTTAAAGTCAGTCTGGCAATGCACACAGAGCTTGGAAAAACCAGCTAGGGCTGACTGCTGCAGGGGATGCCCCAGCCACAGGCTGTATCCATGGTGCACACACAAGGCAGCATTGCATAGTGGGATCCTTCTCTTTCATGGAGTCTTCAGATGGCCTCTGGACCCCCTTCTACACTACATGGGATGTAATATTCTGAGACCAGTCTAACCTTTGCCAAGTTCAGCTGCGAGATTTGATCCTAGAGCTGCAGTGAGATCTTTCTCCTGGGGCTGGAGAGATAGCTCAGTAGAATAAGTGCTTGCCTGGCAAGCACAGGGTCCTGAGTTCAATCCCTGGTATCACAAAAAAAAAAAAAAAAAAAAAAAAAAGGAGATCTTTCTCCCACCTGCACCCAAATAACTTACATAAAAGTTGTGCCAGGGTTGCATATATAGAATGTGTGCCTCAGGGCCGTGAAGCCTTGTGGAAAATGGGTCTTGCAGCATCCTGGTAGTTTAGTCAGCCTACTTGACATCATCATTTAGAGATACTGCTGTACTTTCTGCTCACCTCATGCAGTTCTTGAAGAAATTCATTTCTCCTCTGATTCTTCACCTCTCTGACCTCTTAAGAAGACGTATCCCCTAGAAACCAACCTGCGACATAATTCTAGCAGTTTTCTGTGTTAAGGAAAACAAAACTGTCCACAGTAGCATACCAATATGGGGACCAATCTAAGGGATCAGAACCTAGTGGCCCTGTATCCCCCTTCTACCTCAAGCATGATCTGGCCATCAAGAAGATCAAGACCAGGAAAAGAGGACTCCAGGGCCAGCCACACCTTGACCCTAATCTTGTAAGTAGGAGCCACAATCTCGTCCTTTCCGGCGAGCAGTGTCAGCTTCTTCTGTTATTCCCAGTAGTGTACCAGCCCTCTAAGCTCCTGCAGAAGCCTTTCCCCCTGCCACCATTGTCAGCCCACCAGCCCTGACTGGAGACAACAAATTCACACTTGAAACCCTAGGGTGAAGGAAGACTGGCCGGACACAACCCTCTAAGCCCTGTCGTGTGCGGAGACCCTAACAAGTCACGGTGACCCAAAGCAGCAGTATAGTTTCTAGGTCACCGCCTTCCATGCCTGCGCCAACGAGACTCAACACCCCATCCTCCCTGTCAACCACTGGACCTTTAGGAATCCCGTGCGGTCCATCTTCTCACCGCTTCTCACTCATACCTAGGAATCACGTCTTGCCTCAGTGCAATGCCACTCCCAAAGCCAAGGCTTTACAGTCCACTCCTCCCTCCAGATTCAACCGCCCCCTCCCACTACTACATTTGTACCAAATCTGCACCTGGATGCCACGCTCTGTGTAATCCAAGGTCACTTCTGTTTCCTACAAATGGAAAGCCTCCTCTATTCTTTTCAAATTTTAAATCACATCTACTTCCCTGTATTCCTGTATTCCTCTCTCTGTATATTTCAAATGCTAAGCCTGTGTTAGTCACCTTCTTCCAGTTTCTGACTATTTCTTCACAATGTTTGTCTTTCCCTTGAATAAACAGAAATTCCCAAATTTAATGTATCTAAATTTATCAGGCTTTTTGCATTGAATTTTTTTCCTCTCACTTTTTGGGACTTTACCATTTTGTTTAACAAACCACTCAGGATTTCTGAATTTCTAGTTTCCTTAATCTTAATTCTGTTTAAATGCAACTGCAAGCATCCAACAGTGGCATCTCATAATTACTATGACTTTCAGCGGAAAAGTACATTTATAATTCTGTGGTTGCCTGGTAGCCCGTGTCTAAGCTGCTTATTGGTGGAAGCTGTCACACAGCATTGCTCACTTCGGGTCCCTGACACTTATTACTCCATTGTGTAACCTCTGTGAGGATTAGTTGGTATAATAATCTGGAATGAGTAGTCATTTTAAATGAGATACCTGGTAGCAGCTAGCAAAGAGAAGAAAGAGATTTCAGTGCCCATTGCTTCTCTATCTAGGGCAAGCAGTTTTGTTTTTCATCCTTCTTACTCAAATGAAATATTCATACGCCATATTTTTCCTTACAAAGGCAAAAAGTGAGCCATATTTAATTATGTTGGAAGATAAAAATTAAAACACCAACAACCTTGTACTCACGTCTCCAAGATGATTTCTTAATGTTACCTGATTAGAAAATACAGGGAAAAACCCTAAGTTTCAGTTCTTTTTATCTGAGTCTAGCATCCTTTACAGTTTTCCTACCTAATGGTAGAGGTTTTGGCAAATTACTACAATAATCATAACAACCACACTCTTATTAACCCTGCCTTACAGTTTCCAAAATAAGACCATTGTTCTTATTTTGTCTGTGTTTTGTATATGGGGAATTCATTGGAATGTATTCAACTTCACAGCCTGAATATAGAAGTACTGTTCCAGTCACAATTTGTGACAAAATTAAGATCAAGCTCTCTCACTTCCTGGGGGCTTCTGCAATGTACTTCTAAGCCTTTATGGGATTGTAACATAGGCTTCTGCTAACTTCCCTATAGCTAGTTCTCAATTGCAAGGACAAAGCTGAAATCAAGGCACAAACACTGAGACAAGGGTGTTAAGGAGGCCTATCCAGTCCATCCACTCTGAATGCAAAGGAAAGAAAAGAAACTGATTATTCCTCAGACTTCATCACTCAGGAGGTTTCCGAGGACCTGCTCTCTTGGTTCACTTGGATGGTATCATACGCTGAGTAGCTTATAAACATGAATTTATTGTCCAGACCTCTCAAGGCTGGGAAGTACAAGAGCGAGGTACGAGCAGCTCTGGGGGTCAGTGAAGGGGTTCTCACAATGTGCGCCTTGTCGCTGCCTTCTCCCACAGTAGAGGGCAAGCAAGGCCCTTTGGACTTCTCTCTGAGAACACTAATCCCTCTCACTGGGGAAAACCTTCATGACCTAATCACTGTCCAAATGCCTCCTCTCCTAACATCACCATGGTAATTAACATTCAATAAATGAATGGGGGCCACACATATTCAGGCCCTCGTACTCATACAGACATCCTCAGTAGACATCGAAAAGAGGTTGTTTAGGAGATTTATGGGGACTTAATGTCTACCTTTACTTAGAGAGTGAACACGCAGGCAGAGAAACTAAATGTATGGGCTCAATCACTGTTCCACCCTGGAAGCTGAGCTTTGGCACCTCATTGTCACCACATTTTCTCATGGATAGGGTACCGTAAAGCAAGAAAACATCAAGAATATATGAAATATGTTCACAGAATACATGGAAGCAAAGATGCTAGGA